CAAACAGTTACTTTTGGTAAATGTAAGGGAATTGCTGTGACTGCATGTGGTGGTTTGTCATCCCAAATTCGGCAGTTCTGGGTATTCACAGTTCCATTCAGGTAAAAGTGGGCCTCGTCTCCCCATAAGATTTTCCACGGAAAGCATCATCCACCTCCATTCTGGCAAGAAAGGTGAGAGCAAAAATCAGTCACTTATCATGGTCGTGGTACAGTAACTCCTGTACATGGCTGATCTTGTAACGGATAGAAGTTGATAATATCTTTTGTAAGATTTTCCATACTGTACTGTAAGGCATGTGCATATTCCGAGCTACTCCACGAGCGCTAGAGGTGGCAGCAATATTGTCTGGTCCTCTATCGACAATCACCGTGGCAACTGCTTCAATTGTATCCTGTGGTACAGGTTTTCGTCCTCTGCCTGACTGAACCTTCAGAGAACCTGTTTTCTCAAACGTTGCAACCATTGCTTTTAGCCCATTAACTGACACAGAACCGTTACCTTTACACATTTTTTTGTGCGTTCTAAAAGCACGAAGTGCGGCTGACGCGTTGCGCTGGTTGAGGTAAAAGAATTTGACCAGTAACGAACGCTTGACTAAAGAAGGAGACATTGCTCATAAACTTTCAATCCGATTGATTCGAAATGTATCACATTGCCTTTTAAAACCCAAGCAGCTGGCACTGTGCGAATGGATGTAGTGTGAAATTTGAATAAAGAACTTCTTCTGCTCAGTGTACGTAATATTGCAGATCACAAGACTTTATCAGTGTTTATGTAGATTTTACACTTTTTTAAAAGTGTTGCCATATTGCACTTGAACTAAATCAGAAAATGTGCATAATGAAAGGTAATTTTATTCTGTATTAATTTGCATTTGTTAACACTCTATTTTCTATTACACAGTGCCAAATAGTCCCCTAGCGGTGACTTTTGGAACTAATTTGTTTTTTCGCAGAATCCTTCATCCCCGTCTTGTTTAATCTTCCTACAAAATGTGGCATCATTCTCGCAAATAGATCATGCTAGAGAACAATGTGAGCACTGTCAGTTTAATTATGGCCACCTGGTATTTTATGTCCTCTAATTCATTATAGTTGGAACCATATATCGGAGAAAAAATACGATTATTTCCGTCATTCTCCCTGAAATGAAGAGGCTTTGGTGACAGACACAGTGCATATCACTATAATGGCTATCACTAGACACTGGCCATGAAGTTTTGATTCTTGTAACGCGAAGTTGAGTTGTAACTGAATAAATTATAATTTCTGCAATATCAGAGCCTATTGTCTCATATCCCATAACAGCTCGAACTCTGCGACTTGTGGGGGACTACATCTGACTTTCTTTTTCCCCCCCATCTTCTTCCCATGTGTCCAATGATATATTTTAACATAAAAAATGGTAAAAGAATTGCAGAATTCGAAGCATTGCAGAACAACTTGGCACTACCCTGTGTGTACACATCGACCTGTTTTAACTTTTAAAAAAATCAGGAATTTGCATTTATTTGGAGAAAACTGTTATCATGATCACCAAAGACTTATCACAGTTGAGCAGTAAGATTTCTATAACAATGTAGCATTGAAAATTATCAAAGCTAGCCAAATGTGCCATTTTGTTTGCCTTTTATTTAAAAATAATAATGAAAATCATTTCCGACAATGTTAACATTTTTGCAGCCAGTGGAAACTGTTCAGCTGTTGACTTTAAAATCTCTGTAAAACAGTCTTTTTTTTTTCCTCTGTATGAATTTCCCAAGATAACTTGGACAATTCGATCATTTATAAAATACAACTTCATGGGATGTGCATTCCTATACTTTCTACTACTAGGCAAAATGCAATATTTCTGAAAAAATACAACTCAGTTTAAATTAGCAGAAAAAGGGCCATGGTTGCGTTACGATTTTTTTACAGAAAAAAAAGACACTACATGCTAATTAAAATCAGAAACGACAAGCATAATCAGAAAATTTGAACATAACCCTAAAATTCCAAAACTGTGCATTAGCGGGTTGCCAGATAAAATGCATTTTCATAGAATTCTTGGTTGCCTATATCAGCAACATAGTGATTTTTCCCTGTTGATTCTTGTCACGTTTGGGTGGATAATGCAATTGTACCAAATTAATCATGATTATGTTTTTAAAATTGTTACATTTGAAATTTTAGACTGCACACTTAAGTATGTTTTTATATTGCCAAAAATAAAATAAATGCAGATTTCAAAGCCACCACCACCGTTTTTCTGGTAGGTTTTCTACATGCACATTTCATTCCCCCCCTCCACACATAATAAAACATCTGGAGACTTCCGATTCTTAATTTTACTTCGACACTAAATTAAATACCTTGTTACTCAAGAAACAATCATTTTAGCATAAATTTGTACAATCAATAATTTGGCTCTATTGCTGCATATGTGCTTGGCACCCACCTCCAACCAAAACATTCCACATAGATACATCGTTGATCTGACGCCAACTTGGCGAATCATTATTTTTATTATACAGTCAAAAGTCGTTAATTCGGACACCCATAATCCGGACCTCAAAGCTAAAAACTTTCTGCGCATGCGCCGTGTTGGCACATGTGCACAGGTGTCTTACGCGTGCGCGTAAGACCTGGACTACTGCGCATATGCATGTGCGCAAGTGCAGAATACGTTTTCGCCTGCGCGTTTAATGTATAACTGACGGTGTAAGCTAAAATTATCTAATTATCTATTTCAGTTAATGTTAATGATTGCGTTGTTCCTTAATCTTCGAATTGGATCCCGCTTATTATTTTTTGCAGACTGTAAGAGCAATTTTATAAAATTAAACTTGAACTTTCGATTATGTCAAATAGAATTTCCGATGCTGGAACTTCCAAAGGATCTACAAAACAAAGTATGTTTCGATATCATCGAACAACAAAAAGTGGAATTAATTGCTGCAAAAAATGGATAAAGACATGAAGAATGTGACAGAGAGTTGGTGAAAATGAAAAAATTTCGATTGACAAGTTAGTCGGTATTCTCGGCACAGCAATTAACGGGACTTGAACAGCGGAACTTTGTAACTGAACAAGAAATTGTCTTTTTATAGAATTAAAGAGAAAGTATTATCACCATAAATGAAGCAACTTAACAACTTACATTGAGAGAAATGTTTAATAAAGTAAACAAATAAATTATTAAGCTTTTTTTTTTTTTTTTTTTTTTTTTTTTTTTTTTTTTTTTTTTTTTTTTTTTTTTTTTTTTTTTGTTTTTAAATTTTGATACCCTTTAGATCATAATTGTTCTTTATTTCATAAATTACGGTTTTCATATTTTTATTTTAGAATTTCTGCATGCCATCTTACGAGATTTAAACTGATGATCTATAATCCGGAAAAATCGATAATACGGAATCGCCGAAGTCCCGACGAGTCCGGATTAACGACTTTTGACTGTACTTTCCTTTCATCACCACATGTTTATCAAAACATGACAACTTGAGTAATGACTCATGTAGCGATGCCTAAACAATTCTTTTTATGTTGGTAATTGAATAATAAAGAAGTATGATAACCTTTTATGTTGACATTACGTTTGGTGATAATTACAGATTTAAGTTAAATGCGCTAAAAAATTTTGGCTGACGAGGAAAAATTTACTAAAAATTTCTTTCTGTATGCTAAAAATAGATTTTGATGATACTCATCGACCCAAAGATTACATTTAAGGCTATTTGAATTAAGAATAAGGGATTTGTTATTCACATAAACCCAGAACCAACGCCAGGACTCATTTGGCCGCACCGAGTCGCAGAATTTAGGACCCACAGAGACTGCATCAGGCGGTGAGATATCTAGCGCGGCCCTCAATAAGGCTTAAGTATATGTGGAAATTTATTCATTCAGAACTCTGATAAGCCTTAAGCATGTGCAATAGACATACATATAATAAATAATTAATACAATTCAGGCTTAATTGTCTCGGTGAGCGGTAGAAGCAAGATAAAATTTAACGTAACAACTTGTCGTTACTCGCCAAGCTGATGACGCATAGCGAAATAGGTATAGTTAAGGATAGTTAAATTTGATTATGATAGCCGCTAATTTTAAAGATTTTCGGATATCGCAGAATAAAGGTGAAATTTTCCAATTAACGGATTTTGTTAAGAAGTGGGGAGAAGCGGTAGTAAATGAAGATGATATAACAGAAGTTTTTTGATTGTGATGACAATGCTTCTCAATCATCAATCAATTAATCAATAGCAAAATCTGTAGTATGGTTCTAGATCCAGAAAATAGCGCTACCAATAGTGAAGAAAGTGACAGAGAAGTTACTGAAAACGAGAAAATTTCGATTGAAAAATTGGTTGGAATTCTCGAAACAGCAGTTACAGAACTTCAACAATGCAACTAAACAAGTGGTTATGTCTGTCTGCAGAATTAAAGAGAAAGTGTTAGCACAAAAAAAAAAAAAAAAAAAAAAAAAAAAAAAACTAAACAACTTACATTGAAAGAAATATTTAATAAGGTAAACAAATAAATATAAAGCTTTTTTTTTGTAAATTTTGATATCCCTTTAGATCACAAATACTTCATTTTTTCATAAATCGCAATTTCATATTTTTAATTTTATAATTTCTACATGCCATCTTGCTAAATTTAAACTGATGATCTAATATCTGGAATCGACAAAGTCTGAACGAGTGTGGATTTCGGACTTTGTACTGTACTTTTTATTTTATCTATCTTCTGTTAATTAAATATTTATCTTCTGGTATCAAAAATTTGAAAATTTGGTTTTTTCTGAACAGAAATGCCAGGTAGCACTCATGCTAAACAATAACTAATAATCTGTTACCAGAAATGCTAATAAACCAGATGTGAAAAGTGTAGTACTCATTAATAAACATTAATGGGTACTATCATTTAGCATATAATTATTTGCCATCTACTGTGTAATGTTAAAATTTCCATTATTTATAAATTGTCACATAGATGTATTTTCTTATTTTATAGCTTCGCCGCTATTTGTATCACAGTAATTGGGATACTCGTATTGCTGCAGGACAAGCAGTTGAAGCTATAATTAGTAATGTTCCTGAGTGGAAACCAAATGGTGTTTTGATTAAGAAAGGTAAGATTTAGAATCAGTTTAGTCTGAAATAATATTAAATTTTTTCTATAGATTTTAAATACATGAAAAAGTAAGGTCTTTTATGCATTATATTTCACATTCAGAAGAAATTTCATAATGGCTTATTTAAAGTTTTTTCAGATTGAACTGCAAAAGAGAAAAAGTACTTTTCTGTTGTCGGGACCGGATTAAGAAATACAGTCGAAAGTCTTTAATCCGGACGTCCATAATCCAGAGTGATCTATAATCTGGACCTCAAAGAAAAAAATCTGGACTTTCTGCGCATGCACATATGCATTTACGCATGCACATAATACGTTTCCGCATGCATGTTTAATGTATGCGGATGGTATAAGCTAAGCTAAAATTATCTAATTATCTATTTCAGTTAATGTTGCAGATTGCATTGTTTCCTAATCTTCGAACTGGATCCGGCTTATTTTGCAGACTGTTAAAGCAATTTTATAAAAGTAAGCTTGAACTTTCGATTATGTCAAAAAGAATTTCCGATTCTGGAGCTGCCAAAGGATCTACACAAAACGAAAGCATGTTTCGATGTCCATCAAACAAAAAGTGGAATTGCTGCAAAAAATGGATAAAGGCGTATCTTTTGTTTCTCTAACCATTCCCAAATCTGTTTATCAATTTCATGCTGCTATGCGAGGGGGGGACGTCACGGCACGCAATGAACTGGAAGTTGATTTGTCAGCACTATCCTTATCTTCAGGGCAAATGTTTTTATTTTATTCGGCTTATAATTCCTTACTAAATGTATCATTTCATCTCGTTGTACTCCATCTTTGATATGATTTAAATCAAATTCCTCGTCATTATAAATATCACAAATACACATCAAATAGTTTTCTGGTTGCAATTTTCTAATTTCGACTATGTGTAATATATGCTTTATGCATGCGTGCGCTAAAAGAAATGTTTAATAAAGTAAACAAATAAATATTAAGCTTTTTTTTTTCGTAAATTTTGATACCCTTTAGATCATAATTGCTCTTTATTTCATAAATTACAGTTTCATATTTTTAATTTTATAATTTCTGCATGCCATCTTACCAGATTTAAACTGATGATCTATAATCCGGCAAAACTGATAATCCGTAATCGCCGAACTCCCGCCGAGTCCAGATTAAAGACTTTTGACTGTATATCCATGTATATGTGTGTATGCATATAATGTATACATGCATACATCCATACATATCCATACATATAAGCACGATCTATAACACATACATCCATACATATAAGCATACATACATTTTTGAATCCAGTCTTGATAATAGAAGAGTACCAATGAAAACAGAATTGTAACTCCCCCCCCCCTGTTAAATTCTTGTTTATTAAACTTCGTTTTTAGCAAAAAATTAAACTAAATACATATATTGAATTTAGATTGATTAAGTGAAGAAGGTAATAATGTGTATAAACTAGTAGATTTTCAACACAGTTTTGTTAAAGTAACAGATATCAGAGTAAAATACTGTTATTGCACTAACTGTATAAAGTTGCTCATTTATTTGTTTTCATAAATGTGTGATTTTAGTAAATGTATCGAAGTATATTATGCACTTATTATATTCATTAGTCTTCCTAGTAGTCTTAGTTTGATTACCACTTGCCTGATGCGACCACCATTAAAAATGATTAGTATTTCTGAGAACGTAAACACTAGTACTCCATTCCATCTACCTTCCCAATGGCCAAGAGAGGTTATCTTAGAGAGAGGATTGTAATATTTCTTCATAACTAGTCCCCTTTGGGAAAACCATGGCATACCATTGCCTGCTGCTAATTTTCCTTTCCTGGATGCATTGTTTCTGAAGGCAGTATTTCAAAATTCAGACCAGAATAATCACAGTTGTAAATTTAATGCCTGAATAAACACTCCTTTTTAGTCTTGAAATTTTCCTTGAATTTATTAGTCAGAAGATAGTTTCCAAGTCAGCAAATAATACTGTTATGTGTGTATGGTTTGTAATAAATTGAAAGTGCAAGTCAATAAAAAGTTAACAAAATCTATTCTTATTCCAAGAAATAAAACAAAATGCTGAAATTTCCTCAGAGATATTTATGCAATATCGCAATAGCTCACAGTAGTTAATTTTGAACTACTAAAACATTAAATGGAACTCGATTAAAAAAAAAAAAAAAAACCCACAGAAAATACTAATCCGATGTCACTGCGAATTCGCTACAATCAATAACAGCACTAAGTAAACAACTTAACTGAGGTGTTTTGATGCGGCTTTTATAAGCTTTTTGAATTATGCACAAGAACATTCTGCTATTTTCTCGATTTTTTTCTGGATAGAAAAGTGTACAATTACGAAATACCTATTTATTAAATGCACGTATTCCTGTAGTTTTATTTTTTTTTGACGTGACTTTCTCACTCATAATGCTCTGCATTGCCCAGAGTAATGAAATAATTTTAATTACAATTCCATTAAAACAGCAAACTAAATACAAAAACTCTTAACAATACTTTGCCACACATTTAACTCTTTAATGTCATAGCACCAGCCTCTCATAGGCTGATTTACCTGTTGAGCTGACCAGCACTAGCAATAAATCCAAGCTCTCCTCCTTGAAATTTTTCCTAAAATTTGAGGGCCCCTTTTTCTCTTATAAAATGGATCCTGAAATGGAAGTTTCCTTTTTTCCTTTGCTGCCTAAACCAACAAATAAAGCACTTCATTCACTTTTTTAGTATTTATCCCCTTTTGCACTTCATCCATACTTTTCCTTTCCTATATGTGCTCTTTTCATACACTGAGACTTGATTTTAGACCACTTCTTTTTTTCACCATGTTATAGTAGCTCATTTGATAACTTATTGCCTTGCAATTTTCTTAATATTTCTCTCTTTGTTCAGTATGTTTAAGGCTTCCAGTTTTGCATCTAATGGTTCTGTGAGACTAAAGGTGCATCCAAGAGATAATAAGATGTTTTGTAAACAATAACAACATTTATTTACAAGAAAATATATGAAAATTTCAATCAATTAGAGATATATTATTAGGTATCTCTGCCTTCCATGTCCTATACCTTTAGTATCCTGCCTGCCACTGACTATTGGGACGAACACAGTGCCCTCTAGTCAGAAGGACATTGGAAATATGTAATACTCCCACCTGAACTCACTTGAGTTCACTTACCATTGAATTTTAACTAAATTTACATTCAGGAAACATTTAAAATTACAAAAATAAAAATATAAGTAGCATATTATATCAAATACAAAGCTTCAAGATTATTCAGTCACTTGACATACAAAAACAAATTACACTTTTAACTTCCAAAGAAAATTGTTCAAATATTAAGCTTTAAAATATAAGCACAATTAAACTATCATTAATACACAGGTAGAACATTAACAGGTTGCAACTCAATTAAACTAACACAATTAAGGATTAATTTCTAGATTATACACAAGTTGTACTGAGCGTTTTATTTCTTTCTTAGGAGTCTGAATAAGAAGAGAACAAACTTTTCCATCTCTTCCTGAATATAACTCTAAAATTTTTCCCATCATCCACATATTTCTGGGATAACGCTCATCATTAATCTAAACAATATCATTCACTTTAAATGAAACTGTTTTACCTGGTTGTAGAGAAATATAAGCTGATCTTAGAATTAAGTAAATATTCCTTTCTCCACCTGTTCCAGAAGTGATTCAAAAGTGTTTGCTGAAATTTATCTTTCTTTACCAAAGAATTTCTATTAACATTTAAATTTTAATTTTTATGTTTTATTACAGGTAAAGACACCAACCTTTTACCAATGAAGAAAATGAGATGGGTTGAGTGGAGAGGGTTCTGAGGGTTTGTTGTACAGATAGGTGATAGGCCTGGAATTAACCAGAGCTTCAATTTCTGAAAAAACAGTTTCCAATTCCTTCAAAGAGAAAGAGGATCGTCCAACATTTTTCTTTAAGCAGGTTTT